GCTGTCCTGTGCAGTGGGGAATAAAATGTTGTCACTTTCATGAAATTCATCTCATTCAAACTATATGACTAAATTATATAATGGTAAATGTAGAGAAGGATCATTTCAACATTGTTCTAAAAACCAACTTGGAGGTCATTGGGGGGGGGAGGTCAATACTCAAATCTTTTCAGAAATGGAAAAAAAAATAGAAGAACTTTACCTGCATCATGACGTCATAACCCAAATTCTAAATGATGGTTCTCAGCCATGTGCACCTCTACCTCATAAAGGAAGGGCTGCCCAGTGTCCCTGCCTCTGTCCTCACTCCAAGCAGCTCTCCAGACCTCACACTTAGAGCAGCAGCTGCTGATGGACATGTCTGAGCTCATGATCTCCGCTCCTGTCCCTGGCGACATCCCTAGGCCCTGCTGTCCCATGTGTTCCAGTGCTGTGCCCCACAGAGTTCCGCTTCCTGAGAGCCGTGTCCTGGTCTCTCACACCAGTCTCCTCACTCACCTTCCGCTGTCTGTCTTCCCTCTTTATCCTCCAAAGTCTTATCCACATGGGGTCACAGTGGCTTTAGCTCTAAAGCTGCTGTGTGTCCAGGTCACTGTGCATGAGGGCTCCCTATGGCACAGCATCAAGCCAATGCCATCTGAGGGAGCTGACCCCACCTTCCCAGCCCACTAGCCTGCTGAGCCTGCTCCTCTGTGCCTTTCTGTTGCTGCCACCTCTACCTGCACAGCTCTCCTCGCCCCCACCTTCACCTGTGCAGCGTGACTTGTCCTTCCCGACCCTGGGTCAGGACTCATGTTCCCGGGGCTGGCCTCAGCCTTGGACGCCCTCCCTTGACTACCCGTGAGTTTGGGGCGTCTCTGTGGTGAGCACTGAGCACTCTGACCTGTCCTTCCCATTTGGGGAGTCCTTGGGCATCTTCTTCCCGGTGTCCAGTACAATAAGCCCTGGTGAAATGAGACTGTTTGGGTGATCATTTGTAACAGCAAAACAAATGGAAAACAACAGAGTCAACCATTCGAGTGTGTTTTACTTCCTGGTGTCAGGAGGCAGAAGGCCTGGTTAGACCAGCCCATCTAATGAGCCTAGAATAGGAGGGTCTCATAACACTGAGCCTTCACCTCCTGTTTCCATTTGCCGACACRGGAGAGTCCACCTAACTGACTTGCTCTGTGGGGACATCTCGGGATCACTGCTGTCCTGTTTCACATAGGCCCCGGCCATCTGCCCTTCTCAGTGTTCTCCAGGGGCCTCTGACTTCCCAACATTTTAAAATTAGACATACCTCTTAGAATGCCTTCTAAGCACCTTCTGGGCTTCATCCATGGCACTGGAGAAGGACATGGGACACATGTCACTCAGGAGGAGGGGACAGTCCTGGGCTTAGAGGGGCAGCATCTGTCGCAGTCCCCTCGGATTCCCTCCTGCATTCATCCATTATTCACTCTATTGAGTTTACCCAGACTCAGTGCCTGCAGCAGAGGTCAGAAGAGACCCCTTGAGCAGCTTGTAGTTCCACACTGTGGTTAAGGGCACAAGTTCTAAAGCCAGTGCCGCCTGGCACTGCCACCTGCAGAGTGACCACGGGCAGGTCACTTGACCTCCCTGTATCCTCTTCCTCCTTTAAACCAGGGTTAAAAGTAGTATCTAACCCATAAAGATAGAGGGATTGAGGATGGAATGAGATATAACAGGCTTAGCAATGTCCTGCCCAGAGTCAGTGCTCAGCAAGTCCTAGCTGGCATGGCAGGGAGGACCGCAGCAGCCTCTGTCAGGGCTGGGGGACGCAGCCGTGAACAGAGAGCACCACCCCAGGGTTTATATTCTTGTTACAAATAAACAGATGAACAACTCACATAGGAATGCTGTTTGGAAGACCAAGGGGACTCTGTGATGTGGGGTGGTGGGGATTCCTCAGATAAGACATCAGGAGGCCCTCTAGCAAGAGAGCACTCACCCCAGGCACCGGAGAGGAAGAGGARCCTGGTCAGGAAAAGCCACATGAAAATCCAGGAGGAACGCTGCAGACACAGGGCATGACAAACACAAAGGCTGTCTGTGGGAGAGGGTCCGGAATGTTCTAGAACCAGCCAGAGGCCAGTGTTGGCTGGGACAAATGTAAACCAGAGAGAAGTTTGCCCCAGAGCTGAGGGTGGCAGGGGAGACCTTTGGAGGCTGGTCTTCATCCGCATGCACTGGGAGGCCAGCACGGGGCTGTAACGTGCTCTGAGCCCCACCCCGTGGGACCCATGGAGACCAGCTGGCACCGAGGGGGTCAGAGCAGGCGTCGGGGCACATGGGAACTTCCTGGGGTGGGTTCTGCTAGCAGGCTGTGGCTCCTGCCTCCCCTTCCCTTGGACACGAGAGGYAGGGTACCAGCGGGCCTGGTCAGAGGCCCCCGGTGGACGGCTCTGTCCTACACAGGGAGTCCCTCATGCCGCGATTCACGAGTCTTGTGAGGGCGAAGCAAGGGTCCAGCACTGCTAAGACCCCAACGACGAGGTTATTAATAACGCACGAGATAAGTCAAAGTGTAAATTAATAGTCAGTAAYGCCGTAAGTAACCATGTATTTTAAACTGTTCTGGATTCTTCTTCTTCTGCTGTGGTCTTGAGTCTGGCCAAGTGTTCTGAGGCCACTGGAGCCCATAAGTCCTGCCCCCGTGGGGCAATGGTCTCTGCCTCTCTGTGCCTCCCACGTGTTCCCCTGCAGGTTTGCTCCCACGTCCCCTCCCTGTCCCCACCTTCCCAGCCCACCCCTTTCTGCCTGTCCCCCTGATCAAGTCCCGGGGGCCCCCTCATCCGATTGTTCTTAGCAAGTCAACATTTCCCTGTGTCTGGGTAGTTTTCCTCCCCGTCCTCCTACTTCACTTCCTACATCTGCTTCCCCTGGACACCACCTCTGAGTAGATCCAGTCCGTCTCCCTGCCCTTCCCACGCCCTCCCCTTCAAGGGCACCGGCCTCCTCCACCTTCCAGGAGGCCTCTGCCCAGCCACCCTGTCCCGCTCGCTCTGCCCCTGACCCTCAGGTAGGGCTGGAGATGGGCCTCCCCTGGGGGTCTGGACACTCAGGGAGGAGGGGAACGTAGAAGATGAGGTTTTAGGGTCCAGACGCAGCCAGGGAGGCTCATCTTCACGTGATTCCTGAACTCCTGGGCTGGGTGAGAAACGAGGGGCGAGGAGCCTTGGTCGGGGAGTGTGARGGGTGGTGTCTTGTATTTTTAGCACAATCTTCTCCGATATTCACTGTGAAGTGTAGAGCAGCTCCGACCCCCTGTGAGGGTCTGACTTCAACCAGGCCTGTCCCAACTACCCAACTACGATGAAATCCATACGATTACACCCAGTTCTGAACTTGGTGGGAGAGAGGCTGGGAAATCTGACTTTGGGGGAAAGTATTCCTCCTCCATTTGTGGGCAGCGTACCCACTCTGTCCCTTCCCGGCCATATCTATCAGATGCTGGCTGCAAGACCTTGAGCCCACTGAGCCCAAAGAGAGGGACTTCCTGAACCAGGGCGTCTGCGGACCCCAGGGGACACCTGGACAGTCTTCCTCCTCCTTTCCTTTCTCACCATAGGATGACAGCTTTGTGTCCCTTACCCGTGTCCCCTGGAAGCAGGGACCAGGAAGAAGGAGCTCTGTGACCACATCCCAATCCTTGAGAATAAGAGAAAAGACCTCTTTCCCAGAAGCCCCAGCTCACAGCGTGATGCRGCGGAGCTCTGTGACTGGCTCAGCTTGGGTCACGTGTTCTTCCCTGGCCTGGGAGTGGAGTGACCCCCAGCAGAACCCAGTGTTGTAAAGAGCATTCTCTGAAGTCAGGGCCGGGCACACAGCACCATCACCCTCCACGTGTACCTCCTGCAAAGCCCCGAATCTAAACCAGCCTCAACTCCTCCTTGCCCAGACAGATAAAGTACAGCTTTTGTTTAAAGCCCCTTCTTATCTTGCACCACCCTGGTTCCCCAAATTCCAGATCCTTCAGGTGTCCTGACCCTGCCACCCTGTCTGGAGGTCCCTCCTCCTCCCACCCGCCTCTGTGCTGACCACCTCCGACTCCGGCTGTCTAGGCCAGCAGAGTGGGCAGCCCCTGCGGAGCCTCCCGGCTGATGCCCTCCCACCCGGCAGCCAGTCCCCAAGGAAGGCAGTTTGCACCCTGGGACAGCCCTCCCCACTGAGGTGTCTCTGTCCCCTCACCACTTTGCAGTGTCCTAGAGAGCAGGGGCTGGTCTTATTGTCTTGGAATTCCGGCCATGAGAAGGGACACATAGTGGGTGCCCAAGGGAACACTTCGGTGTTTGTGTTGAACAGGATAAAATKGCACTCGTAATTGAAGAAGTTGAAAAATCATTTAGAACCTAAACGGCTTGGGCTTTGCCGTCCTTGACAAAGGCCTGGTGAACTGCAGGCTGTTTAGGATAACCAGGGCCCCCCTCGTCCGATTTTTCTTAGCAAGTCAACGTTTCCCTGTGTCTGGGTGGTTTTCCTCCCCGTCCTCCCACACGCTGCTGACTGCTCCTCTAATCTCTTCTGTGGGATTTCCACACCGACACCTGTCCTCTCTCCTGAGGGGACACGCAGCGGGGGCACTTCTTTTTCCAGCAGGTGGCTGAGACATCAATCACAGTCCCCGACCCTCATGACTTCCTGGCGCCTGGTGTTTCCCAGCTCGGGACCCAGTCTGTGCTATTCGTGGAAGAGTGCTYGTGTGCCTGGGCACAGGTGCCAGTGAGCTCGTGTGTGCACTGGAGGATGAGGTGGCAGGAGTGGGGTGGCCCCACACACACCACAGGGGAGTGTTCAAAGCACACATTTCTGAATCAGCCCCCAGGGTCTCCTCCGAGTTCTCCCTGACCACCCGCCCCTGTGGAGGCCTTTGGGAGCCTCACCAGATTATCTGCAAAATGAGGAGGTCAGCCCCTGCYTGAGCACAGCCTAGAAGCTCACACGCACGTATCATTGCAATTTGACGTTCATCTTGTATGTTGTTTTTGTCTCCACAGGGGCCTCATTGCCAGTGGTTTCACGGAGACCCATTATCTGCAAGACGGTACTGATGTCTCCCTCACTCGAAATTACACGGTAATTCCTTCACTTTAGACCAGCGTAACTCTGTGCTGTTGAATCTGTGCTTAAACTTTGGAGCCATTTTATTGTGAGCAGAATCAGAAGCCCAGACTTTTCACTTAGGTCCCAAGAAGAGTTTGTACATCCCTTAATGTTTAGCCATTCCTTTGTCACTCCAGAAAAATTTGGTTTTGTCCACGTACATGTCAGAACAGCTGTGGAGGGTTTATGGCAGGGACAACCCTGGAACCTCCTCGAGGCCTTGGGGTGTTCATTTGAGTGAGTCCTTTTTAGAAAACCCAGCCAAAGTCAGAGATCACCTGCAAAGCAGTCCTACCTGGGCTGAATTTTGGTGCATTAAACTTTAAAGTTCCTTAAAGAAATTTAAGAGAAAACTGACTGACTCTGCTTAACTTACTGTAAATGCACCCACAATGTGGATGGGATTCTATGTCAAGAGTTTTACTGGATATGGCATTCATCACCGTCTGATCCGCTTTTCTGATATTTGAACTTTTACATGTAATGAGAAAATGCTCATTTTATTTGTTCCTTTAGCGATTATCTTACATCGTCTGTGTGTGCATATGGCCCCGTGTGTGAAAACGGAGACTCAGAGAGGAAAAGACAAAGTCATTGTCCTCAGAGGATAGGAAGTTCCCTTGCTCTAAAAGCTGTGGGGGTTTGTTTTGGAAGTATGTGGTAGAGTCAGGCTTTCCGTCTGCCGTGGAAGTGCTGGCAGGTCACCCTCATTGTCTCCAAGGCCTCTCTTCTCTGCATGTTGTCAATACCTTTCTTTAAGTGTGTTTGGCACCCAGCACTTATGAACTGGCACTTCCCCCTCCCGGGAACACAGTGGGATACGCTGCTGCAGACCTCCCAGCCTGTATTGTTCAGCTTTCCGTTGCTGTGACAAAATCCCTGAGAAAATCATCTTAAAAAGAGGAGGATGAATTTTGGCTCCTGGTTTCAAAGGTTTCAGTCCATGGTCGCCTGGCCCTGCAGCTTTGGGCCTGTGGTGAGGTGGAAGGGCGTGGCAGGGAATGCAGGCTGAGGTGAAGCTGGGAAGCAGAGAGAGCAAAACGGGGCCTGGGACAAAATACACCCTTCAGGGCACACCCCAGGGACCTKCGTCCTCCTGAAGTTTCCACCTCCCAACAGCCCGTTCCCTTAAGATTCCGCCAGTTGGTGAGTATATTGATGAGGATAGATCCTCACCACCCTGTCACCTCCCAAAGGTCCTGTCTCTGAACACGGCAGCACCAGCGACCAAGCCCTAACTATATGAGCTTTGGAGGACCTTCCAGATCCAATCAACACAGCCCAGATGAGGCCCATAGAAATCCCGCATGGAACATGAGCATATAGGAGTTGTGTCATTGCCTGGTCAGACTTAGAAGACTGGAATTCTCATGGGAATCCTCCAGAGAGGAACCAAGAGGGGAAATGAGCTCAGAGCACTGGCATTGAGTGGGGCCAGGGGACCCCAAAGGGCTATTCAGGAACCAGAGAGAGAACCCGGTACGTGGGACAGGGACAAGAGAAGTGGGCGTGTGCGGCTGTGAGTCTCGCAGATTGTGGCCCCCAGTCTGTGTTAAAAAAAAAAAAGGAAGAGAGGGAGAGGCAGACAGGAAGAACCCTCCAACCACAGAGGGGCACAAAAGAACTGTCTGCCAGGTATTCTGAATTGAAAAAAGATTTCCAAACAAAAAATGGGAAACTGAACCCCATCTAGCTTGTGCGCATGTTGGGAATGGGCTGGGCCCCGGTCCAGAATTTTAATACCATCATAAGAATGGAATTCCCAGTCAAGATCCTGACCTCAAAGCGGGTCTCAGATCAGTGAACCCCACGGCCCACGCTGAAGCCAGCCCCAAAGCGCTCCAGGGGGAGGTTTTCATGGCCCAGACGACACGAGATGCCCCGGCAAGGAGATAATAAAAAGCGCCATAAAAATAGTAAGGATCAGCCCCGAGTCCAAATCACAAACCAAACAAGGAACACAGMCCCTGTCAGCAGGCATCTGTGGAAAAAGAAACCAGAGCATCGGTGCTTCCAGGAACCCGAGATGATAGAAAAACCAGGGGAAACGGTTAAGAAGACAGAGCAGGTCTGATAGAAATGCCACGATTAAAACACGTTTTAAAAACAGGAAAGAAACAAGGTCTAGGCAGAATATCCTGAAAATGTCCCTGAACTGAAGAAAGACATGAATCTTGAAGAAAATGCACCAAATCCCAGGCAGGAACAAAGATGAACCCCCCYTTCCAGGGTGGGTCACAGAGAGACGGCAGAGCATCAGGAAGGGAGCCCCGAAACCACGTGGGACAAAGGAGACGCTCGTGCAGATATTTTCTGTTGTAGCAACAGTAGATTCCCAGCCACGGCCATGGAACGGAGCTTCAGGGAGCCAAGGATGAATTATTGTCACCCTCAATTTTATACTCAAATGAATTTACAAAAATAAGAGCGAAATAGACATTTTCACGTAAAAAGAATAAGATTTACTTCTCTTCTAGCCTAACAAAGAATATCTACCCCAAAAATAGCTAACAAAGAATTCTTAGTAAGAAGCGGGGAGCTGGGGTAGGATGTCAGAAGCAATCATAAGCAAAATAATTGCATGTGAATAAGTCCAAACAATCCATTTAAAATAATAATTAAAACAGTAATGGCTGAATTTGTGTGTTCTGAAACATGATAAAAAAATAGATTTAAAAGTTTAAGAATTTCTATTGTTCTGGAGGATAATAGACGTACTAATTAGATTTCAATAATTAAAGTAAGTCTTTGGCAACTTTAAGCATAACCCTTTAAAGAACAGAAAGGCAGAGTATAGAATTCCGAATAAGAATGAATAAAAATAGTGCATCCATCAGTAGAGAGCAGGAAAGAAAGAAGAAAAAGAGCAGAGTAAAGAAAACAAAAAAACAAGATAAAAATGAGACAGCATATTCATCTCATTATTGTTCATTAAAATAAAGTATCTCCTTAGAACTTAAAATAAAATCCAGCTGCGTAATTTTTACAAGACTCACACCCCACCCCCAAAACAAAATGCTTGTGTCAGGAAAGGAATGGGAACAAGAAAGGACTGATGAATCTCAGCCCAGGAAAGTTGCCTTGGTCTGGGACGTCAGACAAGCTCAATCTTGAGGCAACCGTGTCACCACTAGGGACCAAGGGATCACAATGTCCTGATAACAGAAATCACTCAAAAGGGCCAGAAAGACCAGGAAACTATAGGTACCAGCAGAAGAGTCTCCAAATATGTTTTAAAATAATTAATCTAGGTTAATTAAAGGTTTTTATAAAATCTAATGACCCCATTAAAAATGTTATGGGCTGAATCTGATTCCTTCTTAGTTATGTTCACTTAAAGAAAAAAGAGAAAACTCCTATATCAATGGAACTCTTGAACTTAGCAATTTCAAGAGAAAAATTCTCTAAATATACAGTTGATATAACTTATTCATAATGCAAGACACTAAAAATACATTGACACTCTCACAACAAAACAGGAGACTTAAATATATCTCTCTCGGAAATGGAGATTTTAAAAATGAGCATAAATTACGAGAGGAAGACAAAAGAATTATGAGAAAGCATTAGTTAAACCAAAAACTGTTCATCTGAGTATGTTAATAAAACTGTTAACAAAACATTTATGAAATTAATCAAGGAAAAAATTCTCAAACAATTTTAGGGATGCTAAGAAGGATATAGCTATTGCTAAATAGAGATCCTTAAAATCGTGAGTCTTTATCATCATATTATTTTCTTAAAAATGTAAATTGTTAAAATTGGTTCACAAGGAAAAAAGAAAAATTTTAATCTTACTATATAAAGAAATTAAATTGAGTATTTTAAAATTCTACCCATAAAAATAATACCAGGTGAATTTTACCAAATCTATAAGAAGTAAATAGCTCCTGAAAAAAGAAACAAAGTTTTTAAAGTAGAAGAGGAACTAGCAAAATTAGAGAAAGAATAAATAAAAAATGAATCTTTTGAAGTATGAACATAGTTGCAAAAATTACAAGAAGTATAAACCCTCTCCAGCATATATGTTAAAAATCCTTTAAGAAGAAAGCAAGGATCTGTAGCATTGAGCTATCTTAAAATGTCATTCAGTACATTAATAGCTTCAGATGAGTGGTGTTATTGTGCTTAGTGCTATTTCTTCTACTATAATATTATTAGCAATTATACTCTTTCCTATATAGATTCTAGTAGCTTGTGTGGGTGGGGATGTTTCTGGTGTCTCCTCTCTGCCCCATAGAGCCTCACAGAGCATCTTGCATATAAGAGGTTTTCAAAAAATGATTTACCTGGCCATTTCAGCATCTGAGGTGATGCCATCCAGAATTCGTTCACGTACCCATGTACCCATTCATTCACCCAGGGCTCATGGACATGGAATAAAATATATCCTCAGCATATTAATCAAGGAAAAAATTCTACTGGAAAGGCATGGCATTTGAAAGACATAAAATCAAGTATGTTTTGATGCACCTGCTATGATAAGAATGTGTGCAAAGGAACCGTTTTAACTCCCGGGAGTCGGCTCACTGAGGAAGGGACATTTATCTGGCTCTATAAAAGTGAGTAAAGAAGAGCGAGTTTGGCATGAAATCCTCAATCCTAAGGAGTTTGGACTTTCTCTTACTGTAAATCTGGGAACCAGGGAGAGGGCTCACACAGCAGAATGACGTGTTCAGTTCTGTGCTTCCGGGACTCCGAGCAGGACAACAAGACTGGGAGGAACATCAGAGATAGAAGACAGGATTTGTCAGGGGCCTGCTGTGGTCGATGAAGAGCCCGCCCATAGACGCAGCCTGGTGTAGACATAACGGTCCAGATGCTTAGAGGAGGGTGAGAGGTCAGGCCTGGTGGTGGTGGGCGAGGGGAATGTCAGCAGGAGGGTACTGCCTCCATCTAGGCCAGGAGACAGGCAATGTGGTCCTCACTAGTGCCATTGAGAAGCAGCTACTGGCTGGAAGGCAGAGAGGACA